GGAGGTGTACAGATGTAAAATTGGCAGACAGTGGCCACCAATGGGCTATGAAGTTCAAGGAGAAGCAAAGTCTAAGAATGTGCCAGGTGACTGGGAATGGTGGAGATTATAGAAGAAAGCAAAGGGCAGCTGCTTTAGGTGCATGAAGGGCAGAGGACCTCAGTTTAGAATGTGTTAAGATCACCTGTTAGAGATGTCAAGCATGATGCGAGCATGGGGATCTGCAGGTTTATGGACCAATTCAGAGATACAGATTTTTGAGAAATCTACATAGAGTTTTTCCTTGCAGTTAGAAAGGTGGATGAAGTTGTCCAGGGAGATTATACATAGAGAAAAGCAGAGGACCAAGGACAGGTGCTTGAGAAATGATGAGATTTGGCAGGACTAGTTTTTAAAAGTTCAGGAAGACAAGGAAAAAATGGCATTTCTTTTTTTTGGTGCACAAAACCCTATTACAAAAGAAATCATCCTATGTCCAATGCTGGCAAGTTCCCTATGTACCTAGAGAAGGTCTCCAGGTTTCACAGGTGTGGAGGATACCAGTTCCTTGGATAAAGGCAGCAGCTACACACTCTCTGGCAGCAAAATGGCTGGAGAAGTGAAGAGTTCAGGATTTAGGAGATGGCCACTGGGACATCAGCCCATGAACACCCCAAAATGACAAAGACAGCTCTTGGTTAGCACTCCTGTCTCTAAATTGTGCTGACTTATAAACAGCTGTGATTCTTTGATCACAGCTCTTTGATTCTCAGTTCAGTCTGACTGGCTCACTGCGGGGAATCCTTTAACACCAATGAAGCCATAAAGCTTGAGCTTTGCCTATCGCTGTTGCTGGAATATTTTGTCTCCAGTCTCCTAAACATCAGTCTGGGAGACTGGAACACCTCACAATTTCTTTTTGTAATCTGAAGCTAAACTCACCTGGCTCTACCATTCTGCCTGATGAGGGTTCCACTTGCTGATGCATCAATATATTATTGCACTAAACTAGCTAAAATCACTAAAAAATATGGGATGACTTTGAAAGGTGAAGAAAAGAGGGTAAAAATACAGTAATTTTTTGCTAAGTCTCCGTTATGCTAATAATAGGTAAGCACCCCCAATGACTAAGAGCTAGTACCTTAGACCAGGTCCTTGAATAAAATAGGCAGTCAAAGCTAAAATGAATGAAACGGTGACATAAGCATCATGCAGCACATTTTGAGGCATATGGCAATACATGCATATTAATGCAAATATGTGCATTGAGTTCTAAGTGTCAAGGACTGTGATAGCCAATGAGGATAAGATAAGTAAAATAATGGTCAAAAGCTCGAGGAAAAGAACTTATATGAATTCCTTACTTAAATGCCATATCTTAAGATACTTCAGGTGTGGAGTATTCATTACATAAGCTTATGCTTTGCTAGGCAACGACCTTGTAGTCTACGGGACATGCTAGACAGCTCCTTTGGCTGATTGAATTGATCACATTTGCAAAGTGTACAGCCTATGTGTAAGGAACCACCGAGGCCGACTTGCTCAGAAAGAGGCAGTGAGCAAGGCAGGTACTCAAAGAATCACGGCCAGCCATCTACAGCCTCAAGAGGTATGTGCCAGCCCCAGGAAGTTACTAATAAAGAAACTGAATTCACTGAGAAAGGTCATTTATTATTACATAGTACAGATGTTCCTTGACTTATAATGGGGTTACATCCTAACAAACCCATTGTAAATGGAAAATGCTGTAAAATGCATTTAATATGCTTAACCTACTGAACATGATGGCCTGGTTTAGCTTACCCTTAAAACGTACTCAGAACATTAGCCTACAGTTGGTTAAAACTATCTAATACAAAGTCTATTTTATAACAAAGTGTGGAATATCTCGTGTGATTTATTGAATCCTGTACTAAAAATGAAAGACAATGGTTGTATGAATACTAGAAGTATGGCTGCTTGTGAATAAGCATTGCTTTCAAATCATCATAAAGTCAAAATGTAATCAAACCATCGTAATTCAAGGAACATCTGCATATATGATATATATAAAACATATTCTGTCATATATAAATATATGTGTGTATATAACATATAATGCAAAAATGTATGCATATTCATATGCATATATATTCATATGCAATATAACTATGTGAATATGAATATATAAGGATATAAATTATATGAATTATATAGTAAAATGTAATCATAAAGAAATTTAGTTAACAAAGCAACATATAATGAAGTTAACTGTAAGGTTAGAAAGAAACAGAAAAACATGTGTTTAATGTTTTATAGTTGTCTAATTTCTGTTGAGACTATGGCCAACACATTTCACAATTCTTTCCCAGAGAAAAACCTATTGTTTCTACATAGGCTTTACTTATTAATAACAATCTTATGTTTGGCATTACTGGCCTATTTGTATTGTTTTATTTTTCTTTTCTTTATTTCTTTTTTATATACAAAAATCTCCATTCTAAGAAGTCAAGCGAGGAAATGCTATAGGATTGGTTATGACTACCAAGAGTAAAAATTCATTGAAATTTTTTAAAAATGAAAAATGTTAAACCTCACAAATAATGAGAAAATAATACAATAAACCCCCATGTATGCACCCAGCATCAGCAACTGTCAATGTTTTGACAGTCATATTTTATCTATTCTTTCCCCCTTTTTGCTGAGATATAAAGGTGAAATTCTCAGGTACAAAAAGAACATAAATGATTTAAAAGTCTAGCTATGTTTCTCTAGTGTACAAATTTTCTTTATAGTACATTTTCTTTCCATTTCCACAGCTGTTACCCAAATTCTACTGGTGGCCATTGAAATACCTCTTACGATGGCCTCAACTAGAAAAATCTCTTTATTTTTCTACCTGCCTCCAAACAAAAAAGAAATTGGTAACTCATGTCATAGTTCACAAATCTCTAGGGATTCTACACATCTGCTTCAGCCAGTCTATGAACTTTCAGAAAACATGCAAATATTTTACATTTGTTTATTATGTAAGGGGGTTTCAAAGCTTCCTATCGGCATTTTCATAAGGGCCCATTACCTACCAAAGGTTAAGAATCTCTAGCTCTATTATATCTTGAAAGTATTTCAAATACACTTTCTCACTTCCACCTCATTAGTTAATTCTTTTTGTTTGTTTGTTTTTTGTTTTTGAGACAGGGTCTCACTCTGCCACCCTTGCTGGAGTGCAGTGGAGCAAGCATAGCTCACTGCAATCTCAAACCTCTGGGTTCAAGTGATCCTCCTGCCTCAGCCTCCTGAATAGCTGGTACCATAGGCATGCACCACCATGCCCAGTTAATGTTTTGTATTTTTTTCAGAAACAAGATCTCACTCTGTTCCCCAGACTGGTCTCAAACTCCTGGCCTCAAGCAATCCTCTCATCTCAGTCTCTCAAAGTGTTGGAATTACTTTGAGAGGCTGAGATGAGAGGATTGAGGTGGCATGAGCCACCTCACCTAGTCCTTAGCCAATTTTTAAATATATAAATCAGGTACCTGTCACCATTTCCAGGATGCCCTCCCTGATCATGTCACCTATAACTGATTTTCCTCATATTTTCCTGCAAAAGCTAGGTGACTTTCCTGTTTATTACATTCTCTTTAGATCTCAATCACTGGACAGATATTTATAATGTCCTACTATTTGCTAGGCACTATCCTTTACTTTAGGTGTGCTTTGTCTCCTAATACACTGTTAGAAGAGGACAAAGAACATCACAGTATCCAATATGTCTTCCGTGTCCAAGGACATATTGTAGTTGTAGCTCCAGTGAATGGAAGCAAGGAACAGCAGTTGCATTTCTGTAGCTGGCGTTCAGCTCAAGAAGAATAAGTAAAACCGGACTCGTGGTGTTTTTTGTTTGTTTGTTTGTTTTCTTTTTGAATGGGAGGCTGTTACAGAAAACATCAATCTGATTATCCTGGGCATAATGATAAAGTGAAGCCCAAGCAAAGGTTTCCCCCACTCCACCCCACCCAATATATTGTGGCACTAAAAAACCACTCCAGAATTAGAAATATGCTGATCTCCATCAGCCATCTTAGTAGCACCTGAAATAGTCCAGCCTCTATGTGAGACCTGTAGTTGGGTTTCCACAAATAACCTAGACTGGAAAAACAGCTCGACCTGAACTCTGCCCCCTACGCAGGGGATCAGGAGCATGAACCTCTATACAAAGGGCGGCAGAGCGGTTACTAAATGTGCTGGTTTCGTCACTGGGAACGCGCATTTTTAAAGTGAATAGGTGCCTGATGATAACGCAGTTGTTTAATAGGGGGTTGAAGATACTATGTTGGTGACCTGGCAGAATGTAATTAACCCTATCGTCACAGAAGCATTGTGGGGAGGGGAGCTTTGTCTCCAGTTCTAGGCAAAAACTTCTCAGTTCCACCCCACCTTCTGATGGATGCTTTTTTGATGAGGCTTGTTTTGCAAAACTCAACAGTTAAGGCATGCTGTGTCGTGGAATGATTTGAAGCATCGAAGCCGTGGCATACTACTTAACCCCCCATCTCCAGTTATCCCAATGGACCGACCCCAAGGGAGCATTTCCGCTGAAGTCCGGGGATGTCAAGTGAGAAGAGCCGCGCTAAAGCTACACGCCGTCACCCCAGGTACTGCGCTGCTGCGCTTCGGGCAGACCAGGTGCGCGCCCAGGGGAGTCCTCTCTTACGCAGGACGGGCCACGCGGGAAGAGACCGGCGACAAGGGCGAGGCGGGAGGCAGGAAGGTCACCCTGGTCCCTGGCCGGGCGGGTGCGGCCCAGCCTCTCTTCCTGGGCACGTTCGGGCTGGGCGATCGCAGGGAACTGGGCGGGGAAGCGACCGTCCCTGGCTCCGCTGAGCGCCAGCCCGCTCTTCCTGCCTGGAGGCGCCGCAGGCCTGGGTTCCGGGACATCTGAGCCCGAGCACCGCCTCCCCAAAGGTGAGGGCGGTCCAGGGAGGCGGGGACGCCGACGGGGGCGAGGGCTGCGGGCGGTCTCCGGGCTGCTGTTGTGGGGCCAGCCCGAAGCCCCCAATCCCCAGGAGCCGCGCACCGCGTGGGGCGCAGGAGTAGGACGGGCCAAGCCGGCCTGCGGCCGCAGTGGAAAAACAGGCTCGCGAAGCGCCCCAGAGCTGGCCCAAGCGCCGGAGGCCGGGGGGCGCCTCGCCGCAACTTCTCTTAGGAAGCCCCGACACGCGCCCAGGCTCGCGGGCGCGCTCCCCCGCGGGCGCGCTCCCCCACGGCCACGCGCGCACCCGGCCGCCTGCTCCCCCGCGCGCCCTCCGACTATTTTTTCCTCTTCCTTTCATCCTCACGCTCTAAAATAGGTCAAGGGGTGGAAGTTACACCTGGTGCAGCCCTAGGCTCTGATGCAAAAGCAGCTTTTGCCCCTGGCTGCGGGACAGCGCTGTGACTACTCGCAACGGGAGAGCTGCTGCTCGTCCCCACACTGCAGAAAGCGCCGGCGACCCGGGCACTGACAATGGTCTGCAGAGGGGAGCGGAGAGAAGCCTCTGTTCCTCCCTAGATCCGCCGCCTCGGCGCCCGCCCCAAGGGTGGAGGGGGCGCGACAGGTCGTCTCGCGCGTGTCCCGGAGCCCGCGGCCGGGTCTGCACGCCTGGGTGAGTTCCTGCTGGTTCCCTGCCTTTACAGTTGCCCAGGGTGACCTGTTTACCTTGCAAACTTAGACACGATCAAAACAGGCGAGACTGCCATGCAATAAGGGATTGCGGGATGTGCCTTGGGGTGTGAGATTGGATACATCAGAATTCAGAGGTAAAGGGCATGTCTAGTGCCTTAAAGGTTAAAATGGATTCGTATTTTTTCATGAAGTGCACGTGTATCTTTCCCTGGGGAATTGATTTTTAATTAGTAAGAGTGAAAGAACTAAGATAACTTGAAGCCAGAAAGTTTTTAAAGCTCACGATGAAAATACAGTTTAAGAAGGAATGCCAAATTAGGAAGAGAAGGATTTGTATGATATTACTTGCTATGTGTGGGTGTGTGGGTTTTTTTGTTTTGTTTTGCTTTGACACGGAGTCTGTCTCTGTCGCCCAGGCTGGAGTGCAATGGCATGATCTCGGCTCACTGCAACCTCCACTTCCCAGGTTCAAGCAATTCTCCTGCCTCAGCCTCCAGAGTAGCTGGGATTACAGGCACCGGCCACCACTCCTGGCTAATTTTTGTATTTTTAGAAGAAACGGGTTTCACCACGTTGGTCGGGTTGGTCTTGAACTCCTGACCCCGTGATCTGCCCACCTTGGCCTCCCAAAGTGCTGGGATTACAGGGGTGAACCACTGCACCGGGCCAGGTCTTTTTATATTACGTGGGTTCTTTGTGATAAATGATGTGAGCCCACAATGCTCTATGTAGAAAGAAGATAAGGCTGTAAACGTCTACTTGCAGAGCTTTATGTTAGGTGGTAGGTATGAATTTAAATGCACATTGAAAATTTAGTGTGGGGAAAGAGCTAAACTATATCTACATCATTTTGAGGTTAAGGTTATTGGTGACATTACAGCTATCCATTGGCAACCATTTAGTTGTTTCAATAACTAAAAGTACTAATATTCACGTGACATCAGCAAATGGAAGCCTTTATCTTTTTATTTTTTATTTGTTTGTTTATTTATTTATGTTTGAGACGGAGCCTCAACTATCTATTGCCCAGGCTGGAATACAGTGGTGCAATTTTGGCTCACTGCAACCTCTGTCTCCTGATTTCAAGCAATTGTCCTGCCTCAGCCTCCCCAGTAGCTGGGATTACCACCATGCCCAGCCAATTTTTTTTTTATTATTATTTTTAGTAGAGACGGGGTTACACCTTGTTGGCCAGGCTGGTCTCGAACTCCTGACCTCAAATGATCCTCCTACCTCAGAAGCCTTTATCTTTTAGCTAGTGAATAGTTAACTTGTTTAAAGTTTAAGGAAGGGAGAGTTGAAGGGTTCTCTGTCCTTGATGGCTGGCTGAGAATGCAGGGTAAAGAATTGTCCAGTATTGGCGAGTGGTGCCTTAGCGTTGCTCATAGCTGGAAGATCACTTAGGAGAATGGAAGTGGCTCTCAGTTGGTCATTGGTTACCTATAACTTTATTTAAAGGAGACCTTTACAAGTTGGGACCCATCTTGTCACTGAGGAAATTGTGCCAAAGAACTGCTGCTTTATTAATGCATTTGATCAGATTTGAAAAGGGAGCTCCCTGTACACTCTTTTTCTAACTCACAAGAAATTTTGTTTCTAGAAAGATTCAATTACTGTAATGATGTCTTTGGAAATGTGCCTTTTTGTGTGTGTATCTTAATATGGATAAAGTTCCAAGGTAGTTCAAAGGTTTTAATAATGTTTTGCTTACCAGAGGGATGTGAAATTGGGAATACCCTGTGTGGATAGTTAAGTCTGCTGTAAATTGGAAGGTTAATGGGAGTGGGGATCTTCCCAGTAAATCATAAATCTCTATGTATGTGTATCTTTGACAGCCAAATCATACTGGAGGTTACAAGGGCTGTAAAGAAGAGGTATTAACAAGACCTTATAGTATTTCTGATAGGTGGATATGTGGATACTAACATGCATTTCACTTGTAAAGAATTTATGTGTTCCTTTAGAGAACTAGTCTCCAAAATTTGAAACACATTTATGAAGAAGGCTCTATCATTGCTTTGAAGAAGACACAAGCAAGACATGCTTGGCAGGCTCATAATGTTGAGGGCAAAATGCAGTTAAATCCTTGTGTTTACTACGTGTCAGTGTTCTCATTTGTATTTTTAAACAGGAATTGAGTGAAAGCTCTCATTGCAATTAAGCCCCTGGTATAATGCATTATTGAAATTAGGCTGTCAGCACTTGTCTGTACAATCTTACGTTTTTACTCATAAATTAGGAATTCTTCCGAAAAGAATGGCATGATGAAAGCATTAAGATAACTGGAGAATTCATTTAAGGACAAACTGAATAGTGATGCTAAATGGCCAGTTAAATGTCCTTCAGCTTTTGTGATTCACTTCTCTTGATCCAATAAAGAGAGTACACTGGTGGCTCAAGCCTGTAATCCCAGCACTTTGGGAGGCCGAGGCGGGTGGATCACGAGGTGAACAGATCGAGACCATCCTGGTCAACATGGTGAAACCCCGTCTCTACTAAAAAAATACAAAAACATTAGCTGGGCATGGTGGTGCGTGCCTGTAATCTCAGCTACTCAGGAGGCTGAGGCAGGAGAATTGCCTGAACCCAGGAGGCGGAGGTTGCGGTGAGCCGAGATCGCGCCATTGCACTCCAGCCTGGGTAACGTGAGTGAAACTCTGTCTCAAAAAAAAAAAAAAAAAAAAAAGAACTCCTAGCTGAGACATCTACAAAAGGAGTTAACATCATTCACTTTGGATACTCACTTCTCATCCAGAGAAGTTTCTAACCACTCAAAGAAGGCATTTTAAGAGTTTGAACTAGATCACCTGGATTGAAGCCCAGCTCTGAGCCATTTCCTTAACTGTGAAATGGAGATAATAATATCTCCCCAGGTGGCTGTGGGGAGCAAATGAATAGGTGTAAAATGCCGAGTACACAGTTGGCACATTGTGAGCAGTCATCAAGAGGGGTTTATAGCAAGAAGTAGGAGTATATTGACATAATATCATCTCCTGGAGGCTGCAGAGAGGTTGCTGCCTAATTGACTCTAGAACTGAATATTTGGGTCACTGGTTCAATCCCCCATCTGTGTATGCTTGGTACTCTTCTATAGCATAGAATATAGAATGTGCTGTACTGTTAGTAATTAGTGTCCTTTTGGAGCCAGAGGGTGTCACACTTGCATCTCCTCCACCCTAGACAGGCCTTTGACTCAACTAGGTTAAAGAAGTTACCTGTGGTTGTTTTTGGAGATGATGATGAAGATGGTAGGGGATGAAGGTCACATGAGGGATTTGGTGTATGGTCCTCTTCACACATATGTGTGGTTTTATTCTTTTTGCTTTTCCCTGTTCCCTTCTATCCTCCCTTCTTTTCTCTCTGGGGGTCCCGATGATTATTTCCCAACCTTTGTTATTATGTCTCCACATCAACCCTAGGCCGTAAAGGGTTGTTAGCCCTGATTTGGGTAGCTCTGGAAAGGTCAGCCTGCGAACTTCTTGTTCTTAAAGGCGTAACTGTGGATGTCAAATAAGCACAACCTTTTCCACTTCCATGGTCCTTCTGGGGTGTTACATGCCATCTTGCTGTATTGAAAGTGCTCGTTTTTACCTTCTTTTTCTTCTGTGTTAGACTGCAGATGATGGAAACTATCTTAGCCATTTCAAGCAGAAAAGAGTTGAATATGATAATTAGGTGCTCACAAGAAGGTTGGCAGGGAAGTTTGCAACTGAAAGTAGAGGAGGGGCCTAGCCTTAGCTTCATGTATTGGCTCCAGGCAGCAAGCCTGACTGGCCCCAGGGTTGCTGCTGTCATTGCCACAGCCTAGGGGCTGGGAATCAGAACCACGGTTAGAACTGCTAACCTCAAGGACACACCTTTTGGGCTGCGTTATAGTGACCAGAGAGGCTGCTGCAAAGAACTTGCTAGTTCTTCCTGTCCATCCTAGGAAGCTGGTAACTGAACATTGCTATGAACAATAAAACAAGAAGCAAACATTTTCCTTAGATGCCTCCACCTTCCTTCTTATCCTGCTCATCTCCCTGGAAGAACCTACACTGTGCCCAGAACCTTAGCTGCAAGGAACTCCAGGAAATGTGGTTTATAGGTTTCTAGCCTCATAGGTAGAGGGATACACACTTGAAGGAGATAGGAGTGAATGTTGTGTGACAATCTATCATGTCTAACATATATTTAGAATATATTTCTTCCGAGATTTGGCTAGAATATTTATTTTTAAAGCTGGTAGAGATTGACTTTGGAAAGGTAAGACGATATGTTGTAAAAAATGTTTTAAAGGAGCTAGTTGCTAATCAGTTACCTTTTCAAACAGATGGATATTATAGTTTTGCAGCTGAAATTGCTGGAAAAAGCATCAAGCAAATGAATAACTAAAAATTACCAAGCGCCTGCCTCTGCATATGTTACTAATTGAATGTAAAATAATGTTCCTTTGGTTTGGTTTCATAATCAAGGTAAAATATTGGGAAAATTATTTTTTAAATTATTTTTCCTTCTCAAAGCCACAGATAGCCTACCCATTTAATGAACCACAATACAAACAGAGAAAGTAATGTCCTAATAGAGAAATAAAAGCACCTGGCTTGCTAGTTCTTTCACTAGATGAATTATCTGTGTATTTGTGTTTTTCCCAAATCTTTCTTTCCCCTGTAACTTTCAGCATGCTCATTTTAAGGATCACAGAAATGCATATGACTTGTTTATTGGAGAATAACATAAGAATATACTTGAATTCACTTTAAATAGTCATTTCATACTTTGGCACTTGTCAGATTCCTTTTTTTCCAAACTATTGAAGTGGATATGATTGGATCTCTTCTGTTTTTAAGCAATAAATTACCAGTTTATTTGTACTCACAAATTACATTAGCACATCAAAGGATGATATTGACTATGGAACAAAATTAAGTTATATTTACCTCTGATATTTGGAGTTGGAAAATGAGAGAATATATTCGTCCAGAAGATGGATAACAATAA